AATCGAGAGGCTTTGTACTACTGTTTTAATTTCCTAATTTGTTATGGGTCTGATTAATCTGTCAATCTGTTCTTGGTTTAGCTTTGATATTGCCCATGCTCTTGGTTACCCATCCATTTCTTTCAGGTTTTCAAATTTAGTAGCGTATATATTTTTAAAGTATTCCCTTGTAATATTCTGGAGGTTTGGGGTGTCTATTGTGATATTTCCCCTTTCATCTCTGATTTTGTTTATTTGGATTTGCTTTCTTTTTCTTTTTCGGTTAACTGTGCTAAGAGTCTATCTATCTTGTTTAACTTTTTAAAGACCCACTTCTTAGATTCATTGATTGTATTATTTTTTGGTTTCTATTTCATTAGTTTCTGCAATGATTTTTTGTTATTTTATCTATTATATTTACATTTATATTTTCCTTTCCTTTCCAGAATCTTGAAGTGTATTGTTAAGTTATTTATATGGACTCTTTCTGATTTTTTTTTATACCCACTTCCCAGATAGCACCCTCCTATAGCCTCCCTCCCCCTACTAGAGCCCTTATACTCTGATATCCCTGCTACTGTCTGCTGTGTTGTCAGCACCCCAGCCATTCCCACCACTTGCCCTCTGGTGAATCTAGTCAGCCTATCTAGAGGTCATTGTTTTAGGATGGTCAGCTGTTCCTCTTCTAGCAGTAATCAGTTGTCAATACTCCTTTAGATAAGATTAGGATCTGCTGTTCATTTTCCCAGTTCTATGCTGGGTTACTATTTGGGAGTCCCTTGGGCCACCCTGGCTAACAACTCAAAAGAAAGTATCTCCTATCTGGCATTGTTGCTTGTTAAGCAGCCTTTAACTATACATATGGACTCTTAAAAATTATATTGGGACTCTCCCGCCCTCAGGCCTCTCTGGGGGTAAGTCTACCATGCAGTCCTCTGCGCCTTGACTCCGCCAGCCGCCCTCACCCTTTCAAAGGTCCTGCTCGACCATGGTTGGCTTCACTTGGAAGCATGGAGGAAATGATTCTCTGTGTTGACCCTCCTCTTTGTAGACTGGACACTAGTTCAAGTCCATCTGTTGGGGTCTCCTCGGCCCCCTTGATCAAGAGGACAGGTGACCCACCACCATTATAGGACATTTCTAAAATCAATGATTTTTATTATCAGATACATGCTTCATAGAAAGAGGTGTTGAGAAATGGGTCAGGGTAGTAAAAAAAATAAATTAATACAGGTTTGTACACATTGCTCTATTTACACATGGTTGAGGGAATGTGCCTACATCCAGGCATAGCAGCTACTCTTGTCTGAGGACTCTTTGCAGACACAGCCCTAGGCGCACCTTGCACAGCCCGCAGGGCAGCAGGCATAGCAGCTCTTTCTGCAAGAGGCACAACTGCACTCTTTGCACTTGCAGAATCTGGCACAGGAGGAGGATCTATCTGTGGCACAGGAGTAAGTTGGGGTCCATGGTGAGTCAAACGGGCCATTGGAGTCACTAGACGGTAGCAGACAGAAGTCGGAGGAGAAGGCATCATTTTCTAATTTTTTAATGTAGGCACTTAGAGTTATAAATTCCCCTCTTACAACTGCTTTTAAAGTGCCTGCCCAGAGGTTTTGTTGTGTTAGCATTTCCACTTAGTTCTAGGAATGCTTTTATTTCTCTCTTAATTTCTTCTTTGACCCATTCATCATTTAGGAGTGTATTATCTAATCTCCGTTAGTTCGGGTAGTTACTAGAGCTTCTTTTGCTATTGATTATAAACTTCATTGCATTATGGTCTAATAAAATGCATGTAATTATTTCAATTTTTTTATTTGTTGAAGTTTGTTTTGTGCCCCTCTATGTGGTCAATTTTAGAGAAACTTGCATGGGTTGCTAAGTAGACATTGTGTTTTTTGGTACTTGGGTGGAGTATTCTGTAAATGGCTGTTAGGTTCATTGGATGTAAGGTGTCATTTAATTCCAATGTCTAACTGTTTATTCTTTGTCCAGTTACCTGCTTTTTTAAGACAGCAGGGTACTGAAGTCACCTAGTATTACTGAATTGGGGTTAATCTGTTTATATTCCCATAGTACTGTTTTTATTAAATTGGATGCACCAGAGTTTGGTGCACATATGTTCATGACTGTAATATATTCTTGGTGAAATGTTCCTTTTATTATAACTAACCATCTCTTCTGATTAGTTATAATTTGAAGTCTAGTTTGTCAGATATTAGAATTATAGCAGATTCTTGCTTCCTAGTGTCATTTTCTTGGAGTATTTTTTCCATCCTTTCACCCTCAAATATTGTCAATCCTTGAAGGTGATATGAGTTTCTTGAAGACAACAAAAATATGGATTTTGTTTCTTAATCCATTCCACCAGCCCGTGTCTTTTAACTTGGGAGTTGAGACAATCAATATTGGGAGTTATTTTGAAAGATGTGTATGGGTCATTGTCTTTTTTTAATCTGTTTGTGCTCCTGATCCTATTTTGTGTTTCCATAATTTTGCCTTCCTCTGTTTTCTTTCTGTAACCTCTTGGGTATACTCATTCCTTTCTTTGGTCCTTTGTATTGGCTTTGGGTATTCTCTGCAGGGCTGTTTTGATGAACATAATTCTTTCAGCCTATTCATGTCATGGAAAATATCCATTCCCCTTTGACTATTATAGATAGTTTCACTAGGTAAAGTATTCTGATGTTGGCATCCATGCCATTTAGACCTGGAAATGCTTTGGTCTAAATTCTTCTGGCTTTCATAGTTTGTATTGAAAAGCCACCTGTAATTCTGATGGGTTGTTCTTTATATGCAATTGGTTGCTTTTCTCTAGCAGCTGTCAGTACCCTTTCTTTGTTATGTACATTTAGTGTCTTTTCGCAGTGTCCCATATTTCCTACATATTCCATTCCTGGTTGTGTATTGTTTATAGTCTTTGCTTAAGGAGTCCATTTGTTCAACTTTATTGTCCAGCTTTGCTATTCTGTTTTCCATTTCATTCAATTTGCTCGTGACGCATTCTCCTGTCCTTTCAAATTGACTTACTAATTTTTTTCAATTCCATCTTCATTTTAACTTGGGTTTCCTTCAGTGTTTCTCTTTTGTGAATTCATTTTACAAGTCCTGAATTTTTGTTATTTCATTCATCCACGTAACTGTATTTTCTTGAGCTTCTGTCACAAGTTTATGCCTATCCTCTTTGAGTTCTTTGCATTGTTTTCTGTGCTTTCTTTACGTTCTTTGATCATGTTTAAGATTTTTCTTTTAAATTCTGCA